CCAGTAGTTTCTGTGACAGAGTAAATATCCCCATTCAAGTAATGTTCTCCCCAAAATAAAAGTAATATTTTATTTCTCCCTCTGAGAATTAATTAAGGAAATCACAATTTTTTTTAGTTGAGGTGAAAAAACTGCTTCATAAGTTCATACGTTGTGAAAGCCACTGCTTGAGAGGGAATGCAGCGAATGTAATTCAGAGATAAACCACGATATAATCCTTTTCGAATTCCATGGTGTCCATACACGTATTTCAGAGTCTCCCGCATGGTACTGAAAGACAGTGGTTTAATAATGACACTTTTAAGCCCACTCATGAAGAGACAATTTCAGGATCCATAACAGCATAAAATGCAATCTCAAATAGCTTTTGGAAGGGAAGTACTAAAACAAGCTAAAAATTCACACTAAAACAACAATTCATTCCAAATAGTACAAGCATTATGTATAGAATTGTTGGGCTCGTTAATATAATATATTTTGTTTGTACCATGTCTGTGACATTTACTGGCTACACTATTTCATAATAGTACATATTGATGTAGTCTTTTTCAAGGATGTAAGAGCAGTTGTCCTTTAAGCTTTCATTTCGGCTCAGGTTCTATAATATAACTAGCAAATGGTTACAGAACTAAAGCTTGAAGGACTATCTTTCAGATTCCAGTAGTAAAGACTTTCTTGTTTCAAATGGTGATTTCTTTCCTTTTAAACCAACACCCTTTCAACAGGCAACCTGGACTGAAATCTTCAAAAAATCTTTTGAGTAAAAGGAAATTCATGGTCCTGAACAAACATTCTGCTCTGCCCCTGAAGGATAACACATCACCAACCAAACGAAATGATTCTAAATCTCTATCGATTATAGAAAACTCTAGAACTGTGCTGTGCATTAATAGTAGCCACCAGCCATCCATGGCTCCTCAGAATGTAACTAGTCCCTATTGAGATGTGCTGTGAATGTAAAATACATCCTGGGTTTACATCAAAAAAGAATGTAAAATATTGAAATGATGAAGTGATAATATTTTAGATATATTAGGTTAAATAAAAATGTATATTTTTTAATTTCAAGTTTCTTTTTGTATGTTTTTTTAATGCGGCCTACCAGAAAATTTTAAATTACATACATGGCTCACATTAAATTCCTATTTTTTTTTTTTTTTAGATTTTATTGGGGAATTGGGGGAGGAGAACAGTGTTGGGGAATTGGGGAAGGGGACCAGCCAAGTCGTTGTTCCTCAATCTTCGTTGTGGAGGGCGCCAGTCGCCATCTGGCTGTCCTTCAGCAGCTTGTGGCCTCTAAGCTCAAGGCGCTGTGCTCAGTCTTAGTTGCAGGTGGGCGTAGCCACCATCTTATGCGGGAGTCGAACCCGGCAGCCTTGTTGTTAAGAGTGCACACTATCCACTGAGCAATCCAGGTGGCAGCTCAGCTCCAGGTGCTGAGTTCAGTCTTAGTTGCAGGTGGGCATAGCCACCATCCCATGCGGGAGTCAAACCCGGCAGCCTTGTTGATAAGAGCGCACGCTCTATCCACTGAGCCATCTGGGCAGCAGCTCAGCTCAAGGTAC